TTGCTCGAGTTGTTTGGTACATGTGGTCATAATTTAAATTCACTCGAATGTAGTTTTTTTAAGATGTCCCATCGAGTGATCAAGAGTCATTTTAAAAGCCAACCATTTGACATTTTTTTCTGAAATTTTGTTCCAAATTGCTCTATGATTTCTGATGCAATGCATAATTTATTTTTTTACAAGTGCAGCACATGTGATATGCTTCCGGAAAATACCTAGCTAGTGCCTTCTTTTTTTTTATATACCCATATAATCATAAACTCGGCTTATAGTTCAAAGCCTTAGGCTATTTTTTTTAATTTCTTATTTCTACCCAGGTGTAATTTCTACCTGAGCTGTTCGCTTCTTTTTTTTTTGTCAAACAAACTCATATTTTCTTAAGAGTTAAAGTTTATTGCTCTTGGTAATTTTTTTTCCTAATTATTTTTCCTTCCACGACCTGGTATTTATTTAGATTCATAGTCTATTTTTTTTTGTGATCAAATCTCAATGAAACTATAATCAGTTTTAATATCTTTTTGAAGATTTTTTTAAGATACATATATCTTTTTCAACGATATACAAATATCGTAGCATGCTTTTCTTTTTTTTCAAAGGGGAACCTGTTTTAAGTTTTAGGCTTACAAAATAACATATTATTATTTTTTTTTCTTCATCGCTGTGGTTATCATATCATTAAGACTTTAAGATATCTTTTAACTTTTTTTTTTTGTTTGAACCCAGGAGTTACAGAAGTTGTGTGGTTTGATAGTCTAGATGAGAGTAGACTCAAGTGCTTTTAGTGACACTGACTGTTGTTTCAGATCCCTGAGCAGAAGTCTTTTTTTGAATCAAGAGAGAATTTTTTTTTAATTCCGGTCCATGCTAAAGGGACAATTCTTTTTTTGGCGATTACTAAACAGCTGAATTTTAAGTCTTTTGAATGCTAGATCTTTATTAGTGTTTGGGTATTCTTTTAGGATATCATTGTTTTTACGATATCATTTGTATTTCTTATTTTTTTTTGGATATATAAACAAAGTTGAAGTGGTAGATTGGTCACCGTAACGAAAGCTGTTTTTTTGAACGTTAGCCCTTCGTCGGAAGGGGTCGAAACGTCAGCTTTTGTAATCGTTTTTTTTTCCAATTTACCACTTCAACTTTGTTGATATATCCAAGTTATTCCGTTACTCCCTTTTTTTCAGCCCCAAACAGTTTCTTTCGAGACTATCATCCTTTATTAATATATGGCCGTTTTTTTCAAGGACTGGGAACTACCGAATTCACGAATTTGACTGGCTGAAATCAATGTTTTTTTTTGTCTAGATTTTCCCATCTAGACCGGCATCTAGACTGGTCTAGTAAAGAAAGTTACGAAGAATATAATGTTCCGTTGCTTTCTAGACACAGTCATATAAGAAACATCTTATTAACCGAGCTAGGTCGGTCTGTATGGGAGAATCTTGACCTCCGTTGCTGGTTCAGACATCTTTTTTTTCGGTCTGTACTGGCGACCTCGGTCAAGATTCTCCCATACAGACCTACCGCTTTTTTTTTTAGAGCTACTTATTGTTTATGCCATTGTACATCTGGGAGACCTTTTAGCTGTTTTTTTCTGTATGAACTGTAATTAGTTCTTATTAACCGAGCGGGAGGTCTGTATGGGAGAATCTTGACCGAGGTCAAGATACCATCATACAGACCGACCTAGCTTGGTTAATTAGATGTTTATTATATGGCTGTTTCTTATATGCCAATTTTTTATATTCTTTATAACTTTTTTTTCTAGACTGGTCTAGATGCTGGTCTAGAAGGGAAAATCTAGACCACTTTCAATATTGATTTCAGCCAATCAAATTCATGAATTCGTTAGTTCTCAGTACTTGTGAGACACAGCCATATAATAATGAGTTGGTAATAACTTTGAAAATATAGTAGATCTATATAAACAACAACATTTGAATTAATTTTTCGGTAAATAACCTAGACGCGGGAGTATAGGTCCATGCTAAAATTGTTACCATGGTAACTGCATTTGTCACCTTCCTTCCCACTGCTCCCCCTCCCTTTCTTCCCCCCGCTCTTCCTTCGCCTCCTTCTCGTAAGGAACCTATTCTTGTTCCAAAGTTTTTCAAGCCGGATTGTGCAGAAGTGATCAAGTTGTCCTCTCACTTGATCCCTTCTGCATAATCCGGCTTGAAAAATTGTCCTATCTTTGCAAGCTGCGATTTGTGACGTAACCGTTTATTAAAATTTTTACAGCTTAGCGAGAGGCAGTGAAAGGATGTAATTATGTTCAAAACAAAAAAAGTCAACCACCCCGTTCAAAAGAACACGGCCATTCTTTTCAAGAGTTCATTGATAGCAGTCTACGCGTGCACGAGCTAATTTTCGAAATTCGAATACTCCATGATCCCTTACATGGAGCATTTTCAGTTTATGATCACACTTGTTGTTCTTTTGATTTCGAAAATCAGAACTGTCGCTTGCACTTCACCTGAAACGCGAATAATCTCATTGAGCGATAAAAAGAGGTGAGTCCAAAATCAAAGTTTTTTTATATCTTAGTACTGTCTCGTTTTCAGATATCAGTTAATTCATAATTTGCTGGTTTTTTTGCTTGTCTACGAGTCTCTGACCAAGTTATGAAAAATTGACCACGAAATTACCTTTTTTTTTCCCAATTCACACATGCACCTCAGCTAGAGATATTAAAGTGCACCTAAACCTTTTTTTTTTTTTTCGCTTAACGAAATAAGCTTATTTTTTGGAGTATTTCTGTGCACAATTTTTTTAATTTGCTTAAATCTTAAATTTTCTGTGCCTTGTCAAAATACGGAAAATCGGCCGCCATCTTGCCCCACGACCGAGTTTAAAGAGGAATGGCTCTAGCGGATAATGTGACGTCAAATCGAGAACACGAAAGTCTGCTTTTCACACATTTTCACTTGTTTGGGAAGGTTGTGGTCGATATTGTCCGAAATATGCCGACCAGGTGTATTGTATGAGGAATGTATGAAGCGTGATACCCTCTTGCAAATTTCGCACGTTGCTACATCCTCCTATAACACACTTAGTCGGCATATTTTCGGACAAAATCGACTACAACCTTCCTAAACAAGCGAAAATGTGTGAAATGCAGACTTTCGTGTTCTCGATTTGACGTCACATTACCCGCTAGAGCCATTCCTCTTTAAACTCGGCCGTGGGGCAAGATGGCGGCCGATTTTCCGTATTTTGACTGGGCACAGACAATTGAAGATTTGAGCAAATAAAAAAATGTTTGCACAGAAATACTCCAAAAAAATACGCTTATTTCGTTAAGCGAAAAAAAATTTTGGGTTTAAGTGCACTTTAAGCCACTTTATATTCAAGAGGCTCGCATGTCATGTTCAGGCGCTCTTACACTGGCAAGTTGTAGTTCTGTGAATTAATGATAACTCAACGAGGCTTGATAAGGGACAGTTAATTTTTTTTGCGGGCGTAGGAGTTCCAACCAAAAATGATTCCTCTCTTTTTGTTATCTGTGGCCAAAGACAAGAATAAATTTCTGGAGAAATAAACGGTTTTAAATTCGAACGAATGAAAGGCATGATTCGCTATGTGTACTGTAATATTTACAATGAAAATTGTTTGTTTTCCAAAGCACGTTCAAAGTTGCGTGACGAGAGAGGCTTTGAAAGAGAATCTGTTTACCTTTGAAAGAGAATCCGTTTACCTTTAAAATCTCTCAAGGGTACGTGAGTAGGAAAGCAAATTAGTGGAGCGAAGTGTGAGTTCACCAAGTCGCACTGACCAAGAAATTATTTAAAGTCCGCTCAGTTAACGAAGAAATACTCTGAGAACTTAACGACCACTGAGAAGCAATTAAAAAGACTTAGTTTTCTGGAGAAATAGATGCTGCAGTTAACCTAACCCTAAACCCAGTTATCTACATCAGCCTGATGTAGAATCATTACAATTATGAGTAATTATATTCATGTTGAGTGAGGGTCAGGTCAACAAGTTTAACAATACGACAATGACGGTCGAGAGTTCTAGAATCACGCAAAAACACGTAACGCGCGTGACATACTATGGTTTGCCAAATGTTGCAAAATTCAACAACTTGCATATTTTTATTAAACAACTAATATTTATGCTAAACAAAATATATTTTTATTCAACAGTTTACAGTTATATTCAAAATTTTATATCTATGTTCAACGACACGCATTTTCTTTTCATATTCAACCAAAATTATTTTCATTCAACAACAATATTTATTCAACTTCAATAGCTATTTATTTTACTCAACAAAATTAATTGTTCAACTTCAGTCCAAACTTTTTACTCAACAAAAACAATTATTCAACTTCTACCATGCATAGTTATTTAATGACATACCTTCTAATATGACTAAGTGTTCGAAAGTTCCCGGACATTCAAAATATCGTCATTCAACAAAATCCCCGTCAAGTCCCCAGTTAAATACGCTTTATTGCAGACCCAGTGCTCCGAGCATTAACGCCCATGAATAGAGATGGCGTCGGAAGACGGATCAGGGCGTGATGTTAGGGAAGAACTGACAAAAATTGTGAGAGAATGTGTTCGAAATGAGATCGCTCCTCAACTATCGGGAAGTAATACCTCGTTGTTAATGAGAACGCGCGACCTTATAGCAAGTTCAGCAAGATCTGCGAGCCGAGAGATGACAAATTTTATCGCCCCGGGCATCGTTCCGTCTTTTCCCGCCACAGTCTCCCCGGTTCCTTCTTCTTCGTCTTCTTTTCACAAGGGAAAAAAGAGGCCCGCAGTTGCAACAAATCATCCATGGCGCCTGAAAGGTAAACAGGAGGAACAAAAGAACCATAATCTGCGTATTAGAAGGAATGGGTTTCATGTTTGGGGGTAGTTCGGGGGTAGGGGCGGGGAATTTGTTGAATGACGATATTTTGAATGTCCTGGACTTTCGAACACTTAGTCATATTAGAAGGTATGTCATTAAATAACTATGCATGGTGGAAGTTGAATAATTGTTTTTTGTTGAGTAAAAAGTTTGGACTGAAGTTGAACAATTAATTTTGTTGTGTAAAATAATATAGCTATTGAAGTTGAATATATATTGTTGTTGAATGAAAATAATTTTGGTTGAATATTAAAAGAAAATGCGTGTCGTTGAACATAAATATAAAATTTTGAATATAACTGTAAACTGTTGAATAAAAATATATTTTGTTGAGCATAAATATTAGTTGCTGAATAAAAATATGCGAGTTGTTGAATTTTGCAACATTTGGCTAACCATACGTGACGTGATCGCAAAAATATACAGAAAGTATCTTAGTGGTTTTTAAGTACGTGCCTAACAGGTTTCCGTCGGCTAATTTCTCGTGAGACAGATTTCAATCTGTGCGTCTTTCTTTTCATTTGTGTGGACATGGTTTGTATCGTTAGAAGATAGAATATCTCGACAGTTATGGAGAAACTTTACAAGGCACGCAGTGAAACCTGCCTGTGGAATGATAAAACCGAAATTCTGGAATGACCCTTTGCCGAAGCAGAAGAAAAAACTATCAAAAGGAAAGAGCCACCTTCCGTACTCGCCTCCATCTTATCGTTTGTTAAACAACAACTGCAGTAGTTTGGTATCGTCTCAGGATGGAGATTTATGCCGGCTAAAAGAGTGCGCCGTGTTCAGGAGAAGACCAAGTTGGCGTAAGAGGCGCTTTGTACTGTTGGAAGATAAACTATACTGTTATGAGAAAAGGGACGATATGTTGGTGTTCTCCGAGATCATAATGATGTCCAATGTAACGTCTGACTGTGCAGAGCTCGAGCTGCATTAACATTTCCCAGGTTGATGGCAGTATTAGAATGTTGAGATGCTGCTCTACAGAAGTCTGAAACGTTTGGCTGACGGCGTTATTAACCGCTAAAACAGTCAATTTACTGAAGTACCAATAATACCTCAAGAAGCATCACTATACCTTATGTAAATGATCGGAACATTGGCAAGAATGTAATTATTCAAGTTGAATTCTCTACAGATGTAAATATAATTAGGACAACTGATAAGGTTTGAAAGAATATTGTAATATGATGAAAATACAATTTTTTTTCAGTCTCTTGAGCGTGAAAATATTTAAAAAATTTCTGAGCCGCGATTTAAAGGAATACGAGGTGGGTGGCATGTTTGTACAACACCCCTTTAGCTCGGCTCCGCCAGACCCCGATTAACTATGCTGATAACCGTACAGATGATATTTCTGAGAATTGGGAAGTTGATTGCACAACATCCCTTTTCTTTCGTCTCATAACTGGTCTGTTTGCCATTGTATTAATTGATATCGCGGGGAGCAATAATGAATTGGTCAGTCTTGGCGAGGGGCTAAAACAATGAAGATTATCAAAAATATGCTTGGCATTTACTGTTGACTGAGAGAGAAGAACATTTAGTTCTGACAACGTGACTTAAAAAACAGATTTTAGATGGAAAAATCAAATGAACACATATTTTCAGATGCATTAAAATCGATCCTGTTCTCAGAATTAATCCTTTAAGCAGGAATTTAAAACAAAATAGCGAATGCCTGTTTTAGGTATGGTTGCATTTGTATGTGAACTGTAGTTTGTGTTACGTCACAAAGGTGAAAAGGACCTCCAAACCAAAATGCTGCCATAAGAAACCCACGTAAGTCCAAACATGAAAAAGCTCAGCTCGGGACATCACCCACGTTTGTCAATAGAAGCACGTTTCAGTTGAAAGTTTCTATACAGTCAATATTTTTTTAAAAGAATATTTATGTATTTTCAGGAAACAGATCGACTAGCAGAAGCCAGATGGTTTTAATCTGACGAAATTGCAAATGTCTGACTTAGAAAGTCCCATCTTCAGTTTCTGAAAACGTTTTCACTATTGAGAGTTAGTTCAACCCTAGAGCCCCTTAACCGGACTGACATGTATTTAATTTCTCCGTTACAATATCATCCCTAAATTACTGAAACGTTAAGGTCACGAGAATACAGGAAATCATCATCAACGGAGAAGCTCTTGATATGTTAATCAAATTCTCCTTGTCAGCGCCTTAAGAAAAGTAGACGAGACAGTATGGAGAATTCGCATACTGATATTAGGGTGTAAAGGGTTAACACTGGCGATATTCCCCATTTCAAAAACGAGTGGGGGAGTGGGTCGAGTTCGCCGCTCAAGTTTGTCTGGATCGTTACTCGGGACACAAATCTTTGATCACTATAGATTAGTGTCCCGAGTAACGATCCCAGAAAAACTTGAGCGGCGAACTCGACCCACTTCCTCACTCGTTTTTGAAATGGGTAATATTGTTTACTTTTGATTCGGAAATCGTCGTCTCTGAGGGCTTTCTGGTTGAGAATTTTATGATCCAGTGTATTGGATTTTAAGGGTGTAGTTATTATTTAACGCACGGAGGGTTGGAGAACTGTTTGTTTTAAGGGGAAGGGGTTCACGAGGTTTTCAGGGGGAACGGAGAGGGGATCAGTCGTCGCAAACAGAGTCTAAAGGGGGGACGACGGATTTGGAAAGCATAGTACATGATGTAGCTTTCGCTTTCAATCCGTGTGTGGCGTTGTAAGATAACGTACAAAAGAAAGGCAACTAGCAATAACGATTGCATTACAACCACGATCACAATCACTTTAAAGAACTGTTTGCTGACCTAAACAGCTAGACGTGGCTGAAACTCTCTCCAAAATTTGCAAAGCACGTGCAGTCCCCTAGATTGTCACGTGACACAGAGCGTAATGTAAAAACGGAAATGAAACGGTTACCACACATAATGCTGAATATATTTCTAAAAATAGACAAGTTAGAGACTGCATGTGACAACTGGTTTAGCACAATTTTTTTAGTATTGAATATAACTAGTTGTATAATGACGCTATAAGGTAGTGGTGCAGAGTATTTGTCTCACATGCCAAACAGGAAACTTGCATCCCATACATAAAGATTATGTTCACCCTGTTCTACAAGAGTAAGATGATTCAAGGATACGTCGTCTAATTGAAATTTAACTAATCATATAATGGTTACAAATAATAGTAATAATAATAATGATAACAATATCGATGCAATAATAATCCTAAAGTGACCAGCTCGAACATCTCATTGTTCCCCTATCCTCTGAGCTCCAAAAATAATTATCTATGCTTCTTTTGATTTCGTCTATACATTGTAATTTATTTTTTTCTGTCGCAATTCTATTTTGGAAACTTTTGTTATAGAATATTCCGCCATTCCGCCGATCCACCGTTCCATTATTTGATTGAATAACTCAGCGTATCGTATTTCGCAGCTCACTCAATTCGCAAATGTACCGGCCCTTTTCGGCGAAAGTCACCAAATGATGTGCTGATCAAGTTCATTGAGATATTTCTGCGACGAAAAAGCGAATGTAGTAGTGTTTCAATGTTTGGCAAACCAATTTTTTCTCGCATTTCTTAAATTTTGGCAGCGCTCGCATCAAACTAAATTCATCAGACCAAAACTTCATAGACTGATTTATAATAATAAATAATAGTCATTAATAATAATAAATCACAAACCCATGTCATTCTCAAAAGAAATAGAGAAAATATCGCGAGAATTGCTATGGCGCAACGAATTCTTTCTTCCAGCTGATCATTTGCGTTTTGGTTGAAGTTTGCGCTACTTGTACTAACTTAAACACCTGCAACGGAAGGAGAATTCCTCGTTCATGCCGTATATCCTCTAGATTGCTGTTTGTACAATTGGAAGCGAGAAACGAGCCCTGAATTTTGAATAAAAGCACCTTAAATTCGTTTCCCTCGAAAGAAAAAGGGTGAGGTGGAGGAGAAAAATAAATAACAATAATAAAAACTAACGATATATACATACTATTGAGAAGTACAATTATGCTGTTCCGCGTCTAAAAAAATATCTCAAAATCTTATTTTTAAAACTAAAGAAGGAGCTGAGTGCTCTTGACTTTCTTCGAAAATCATTCTAGTCTTTCCCAGAAGCATACTTAAAAGAAGACTATCCCAATGCTGAAGACATAGTACCCTCTAAATCTAATAAGTTAGTATCCCTTAAAGATCTTTTTCGTTCTTCTGATCACGTGGATTGTACATAAAGCTTAGTAACCACCCCGCTCTCGTAGCTTTGATACTCTAAACCCTTGAGAGTTGGTAGTTACGTTTGGCTGTTAATAACGAAAGAGCGTCCATCTAGAAGACGCGATGCAATTGTAGTAAAGTGATTATTGAGATTCCGCAATTGCCTCTGGGTCGCACACTTCTTTTCCAATGATTACGATGTGCTGGATATCACGAACTTTTTCCTTACTAGGCAGAATTTTGCGTATGTTCCAGAGGGCTGTTACTTTTGATGCGTTTTTTGGAGATTTTTTTAGAAGTAAATTCTTCTCACTTGTACCTTGATCTCAAAGACGCTTA